CCCCAAAACCCCAAAACCCCAAAACCCCAGAAATTTGAATTTTAGATTATTGAAAGTAGTTGGAAATTAAGATTAAAATAAATGCTTTATTTAAAGTAATGAATTTTTCAACTTGTCATAAATAGTATAAATAAATAAAGTGTTGCTTACTTGATTTTCAAAAATCTAGCGTGTAGCTAGTTCATTTCTTAACAAACTTATCATCCTATTTCTAATAGAATTTGGCAAAAATCACATAAACTGATAAAGCATTTGCCATAAAAATCACTATCATTCCATAAATTTCGTTAGTATTAAAAATTGTTCCAATCAGGATCAGATCAAAGACCAATGAAAAGATAACTGAGAAGTAAATTAGGATACTTAATCTACTGGCCATCTCTAATTACATAGCTTTAGTCTTGCATATCAAGCCTCCGATACCACAAAGTGCTACAAATACCATAATAACGTAGTCTTATGAATCAAATTAGGTACTAATTATCATCTCTGAACCTGAAATAGGGATACCAAAACCAAAAAAGAAAATAGAAGCTAGCACAGCATAAGTTGCAGAAGTATACTCATGCATCTTTTTCATATGTCTAAGTAAGATATTAGTTGTAGCCATCATTACTGCAGCTGCAATCAATAAGATGAATGGAATTAGTCTGATATTTGACTGAGTTTCTTCAATTTTTTAATCGCTAGATGTGATTGTGTCAGTTGGTGAAGTTTTGTTTTCCTCAGAAAAGTTGGAAGTCGACGAAGATACTAAGATAAATACTCCACTGAAAGCAAGAAACAGAGCAAATACCTCAGTTCTAGTAATTCGCTCCTTTAAAAACATAAAGCCCATAATTGAAGTGAAGATTGGAGCTAGATTTATGACTAGAGAAACAATAAAGATTGGTAGGAACTTGATTGCGGTATAGATAAAGTAAAAAGATATGACGCCTGTAAATACCCTAATAGATAAGGGAAGCAGCATATCTCTAGTCACATTTCTAATCAGAATTTCTTTAGCATTCCTGTTAATAAGTCCACCCATGAAAGATAGTTAAACAAAAGCTCTCCAGAAGAGGAATTCATATACGCTCAACTCTTTATGTTTTATGTATATAAGCTTTGATACTGAGTCGGCTAAGGAGGTCAAGATGACGTAAAAGAACATGAGAATGAATGCAAGTGTAGTCTTTCTTCTAGTTTCTCTCAGAATATCTTTTTCAACTGTAGAATTATCAACAGATGAACTGATTGGAGAATCATTAACTGATTACTTCTTGTGAGGTATTAGGTTTTCTAGGTCTTGTTTGTTGTTGAACATCGGGTTTACTGTGATTAAGGAAATATATAAGGAATATGTTTGCTATGTAGTATAATACTTGTAAAGTATATTATAAAAATTTGCACAACCTGAATTAATATCGATTACCTAAGCAAATTTAATAGTCGTTAAATTATGCAAATATGATTTATTAATGATAGAATATTCTCATAATTTATATGATTATTGAACTCGCGGGGTTTTGGGGTTTTGGGGTTTTGGGGTTTTGGGG